CAGCAAGCTGCCAGAAGGCTACCTGGTGGGCAGAAATTAATTAGGCAGGAACTAGACAGGGTAGTGCAGGTACTGAGATGCAGTAGCTAATCATCATGTCTATAGCTTGTCCTGGGGATTTCCAAGGCTGGGCAGCCAGATCAACCATTCTGAGTGACCTGCCTGAACCAATGGCTGGAATGGGGCTTCCAGGCTGGACTTTTTTTGGCCTACTGCTCCAAGGCAAAGCCCAGGATTTTTGTTTGACTCAGACATGGTACTCCAGGGGAATATGCCTCCATTAGGGATGCCCTAACAGCGGCCCCTGCATTGAGCCACAGACCTGAGTGGAAGGAGAATCTGTCAGCAGTCCTGGACCTGCCCTCTGATGTCTGGTCACCAGGGCATTCCTGGGCTATGAAAACTGAAAATGGGATTTAATGGCCAGGAACCAATTTATGACCCCCACAGCTGAGAGAGAGATCTGAACAACTCTTCCTAAAGAGAAACCTGACGGGCTGGAAGATGCCATCAGGATTGCTGCAGAGCTACAATTAGCCTTCGAGGCTGCAGAGGAAGGGGGCCCAGCCCCAGGACATAAGAACATGAGGCTCAGCTGGTTATCACTGCTGCTATGGGGAAGACAAGGGACTCAGACCTCTGAGAACGGATGGAGGCCATGAGAGCAATGCAGCATGATATTAGCCATCTGAAAGCAGAAAGGGAGCCCTAGATCCAGAGAGAACAGATGGAGGGAGACAGGACATAGGAAATAACTGATGCTCGATTGACAAGTGTTCCATCGGAAGGACTGGGAAGATGTACAGTAATGGAGGTTTGGCAGCTCAGGGACCATATGTGACAAATGTGGGAATTTCCTGTAATATTTTTATGAACTATCTGCATAACACTGTACCTGTCCCCTTGGCATTGCAACCCCTTGGGAGAAGAATTGATTTTCTCCCTTGGACAGGGAGATCAGGGCAGGTATCCAAGACGTGGTCACTAGGGCTGCCTGGGCAGGTATGAAGACATTGTAATGAGAGCCTCCATGAGCAACTTGCTGCCCCCGTATCTCTGCAGGGAAGCAGAGTAAAAACCCCGAGTGGGTGAGCAA